TTTCTGTACTTATTGAAAATTTAATTTTTATATAAATGTTATATAAAATATTGTGTGCCACTTATCTACTATTTAAACAGCATATTAAAACTTCATACTGGCATCATTCTTAATAAACATGGAATGCTAGTGAGAGGAACAAGAAAGGTCCCAGGAGAAACAGGAAGAAGGACTGGAGACAATAACTGATGGAAAAGAAGACAACTGGACAGATTTTCTCCTTAATTGGATGGGTGACCTTGAACCATTTCTTAACCACTGCTTAACCTTTCTGGTCTGAAACTCCTGATTCAGAAAATAAGAAAATGTAATTCTCCTTAACACTCCCCTTTGTCCTTAGCAGTTAAACATATCCTGTGAATACATATTGGTGATTTAAAATATTTAATTTTATTTAAAATTTGGATAGACAAGACATTAGAAGAATACGTTAATTACCTTAGTTTTTTTTTTTTTTTTTTTTTTAATTCTAATAGGAAAGCTGTTACTTATGATCACACACTCTGGTTCTAAACTAGTCAAAACACTATTTGTGGATGATTAGATTCCTAAAAAGTATTTCCTATGATACTGTTGCAATAGCTGACTGTATTTACTAACCATAAAACACAGAGATCCTTAAAAAATAATGGTTGTTAAGACTTATTTTTCCTAACATTTTTTTTCACTATAATGAATGTAGAAAAAGATGCTGAGTTAGTCTCAATTATGTAACATGGAATTTATGTCTGATAATAAATCTAAAAATATTTGCAACTATAGATTTTACATATTGAGAGGGTTCTTACTAAGTAATGAGTGATCACAGATTTAAATATACTTCAACTTGCTAAAATTATGTGGTTATATCATGTATTAAAGGTACTGTTTTGCTGTGTATATTTCCAATAAGTATTTGGGCACAGAGTTTGCTTCCTGATTTTATTTTAGGTTGAGTTTGATTGTTACATCAAAATTCTAAATGAAGTTTGATTTCTATGATAATTTGTGATGCTTATATTTATATAATTTGGAAATATTTTATAAAATATGAGATTATATATGAAGAGGTGTATATACAAATACATATTTACAATGCAAACATATGTGTAATACATACATATAAGCATAAACATAAGTATTTTCAAACGTGTTAAAAAAAAAGTATAGACCTTAAAGACTTAACTCCAACCTTTCTACTTCTGTTCTCTCCTCTCAAAAATTACCTTCCTAAGGGGCTGGGGTTGTGGGTCAGGAGTAGAGTACTTGCCTTGCACATGTGAGGCACTGGGTTCGATTCTCAGCACCACATATAAATAAACAAAAGTATTTTTAAAAATTACCTTCCTGTGCTGTTCAAAAATAATCCAAAGTGATAATTGAATGTCAGAGCACTCTTGAGGACAACTTCACTCCTCCAGTAATTTGAAATGCCACCCCCAAAATACATCAAACCCCCATATATATGCTAATCTTTCTAGTATTAGGCTATTTTTCTAACCCTTAACTTAGAAAAAAATAGCTGCCTGAATCTGGCTATGATTCTCTGTTGAAGTTCATACCTTAATCATCAAATCTGAGTCTTCATACTTTTCTAAAACATGCATGTAATGCTACAACCATCTAAATAAAGCTTTAGGTAATCCTGCAAGTTTCGATATTTACACTTTTGTTTTCCTTTCATTATTCATTTCCCACTATTTTCTAATTTTCATATAATTTCTTTGTTGACTATTTAGAAATATATTTTTCCCAAATTCTTGGGGATTTCTATTTATCTTTTTTTATTAATTTCTACTTTAATCTGATATGGGAATATGAGGTACTAATTAGTCTTTTCAGTGTTTTGAGGCCTGGTTTAGCAGGAAATAAATTTCTTGAAGATAATGTAACTTTTTTATTAATTGGGCATAGCATCTTAAGTATGTAAATTAAGTCATATCCATTATTTCCTTCTAATCTCATTTTCTTATTGAATTTTTGCCTCTATGCTTTCAATTGCTAAATGAGACTTGTTAAAAATATTTACTATATTGGGCTGGGGATGTGGCTCAAGCGGTAGCTCGCTCGCCTGGCATGCATGGGGCTGGGGTTCGATCTTCAGCACCACATACAAACAAAGATGTTGTGTCCACTGAAAACTAAAAAATAAATATTAAAATTCTCTCTCTCTCTCTCTCTCTCTCTCTCTAAAAAAAAAAAAATATTTACTATAGGGCTGGGGTTGTGGTTCAGCGGTACAGCGCTCATCTAGCACGTATGAGGCGCTGGGTTCGATCCTCAGCATCACATAAAAAATAAATAAAATAAAGGCAGTGTGTCCAACTACAACTAAGAAATAAAAATAAAAAAGATAAACCTTTAAAAATTTACTATAATTTTGAATTTTAGAGATATCAATTCTTTCTTGATATAAACTGAGGCTACAATTTTTAGTTCATACAAATATTTAATATCTTCCTGATTGGTATTTTTACAATTATAAAATATTTTCCTTTAACTCTAGTAATGCTCGTTTTTTACTTTGATATTTTTGCCACTGCATTAAATTTCTCTTTGTATATGTTTCCACTCAGATTTCATTGTTTCTAGATTAGATTCTTACAGGTAAGATGTTGCAACTATAAGTGATTTTTTTTTCAAAAATTAGAACTATCACTGTTTTTTTGTTTTTTGTTTTTTAATTGAAGAATGCACTCTACTTATATATACTTGATTGTGCTAGAGTTTTCTACTTTGGCCATTCTTCAGTGTAAGCCTATTATACAATCAGCCTCACTGGCTTTTGGTTTTTCTGTGTCTTTTGAACACTAGGACATGGATAAAATTATGTCAGCCTCTTTAGCATGTCTTCCCTTTATCATGGATAAACCATATGCTAAATAATAGTTGTTCTTTTAGCCTGAGTCTCAGAAAAATAATTAGGAGACTAGAACCCAGTCAATAGCCTGAAACTGGGTTACCACAGTCCACTTCCAGCTGCTAAGAAACAGTGTGATCAAAGAACAAATTTTTTCACATCCCAGAGATATTGAGGCTCTTTTACTATACAACTATACAATTAATCTGATGAAAGCTGATTAATAAAAAAAAGTTTCCAGAAATGTAGCATTTCTATAGATATGTAGCATTTCTACAGATATGTAAAATTATGTCAGTGACTTCTAGATAGGGAAAATGCTTACAGGTGACTGAAAAATAAATAGTAACCCATGGTATGCAGTGTCAAAACAGTATGGTTATCACTTGTGATAACTTGAAAATCAGACTAGTGACTTAGTGCATTTATAATTTGCTTAATTATTAGCAAAATAAAATGCTAATAGCTTTAGTTGATTGTTTTCAGCTACATTTCCTAAGTTCTTACATGATAGAAATGATCTCCAAAAAGGATTGATGTGTTTGCCATCAGGAATGAAAGGAGGGAGGAAAAAATCCAGACATTCTGGGTCTTGAGGTTAAAACATGGCAATTACTTTTCTCCATTTTATAGCCCTTGATGAAGCCAATCTACTACAGACTCAAGGGAAAGATGTATCTTTGGAATCAAACAGACTTGGTAGATTTTTACACTTAAACTCAGCCACGTACTAGCCATATGGTGTGATGTATCGGCTAAGAAGGCTGGTTTCTGCTCTGATTAAAAACAATTACAAAATGTCAGTTGCTTAGAAGAACAAAAAATTTTTTTTCAGAGTTATGCCACATCTCCAACACGGGAAGGCTGGGAGCTGTATTCACTGTAGTCCTATCCCAGTACTCAGAGTCCCAGATGGACAATCTGAGAGCGCTTTATAGGAGCACTAAATTTTGAGTAAGAAAGTTAATCGCAGCTAGAGTAACAAAACCTTGTGTGCAAGTATATGTGCATAATTTACGTTAATATCTTAGTTAAGACTTACTAAACCTTGAGTAGTCTTACTGATTATTCTTTTGGTTCCTGTAAAACCTCCATTGGTCACTTAAGCATCAGAAGCTTTGGTAGATATTACAGGACTGATAAATGAAGCCAACTGCCTGATCTCAGTCCTGTATATTCTCTAGAAGATACAGTACAATAACATCAACCACAGCAGGCGTAAGTGCCACAAAGGACTCGTGAAGCTTAGAGCCTTCTAAAGCACTCAATTAGATACAGTCTTATTTATTATACATTTGTGGTGTTTTTCTTCTTGTTTTCTTTTTCCCCTCCGCCCCTACTCCACCCCCATCAAACTCAGAGCCTCTGCATGCTGGAGAAATATCTTACCACTATACCCTAGCCCTGCCTGTTCTTTTTGTCAGCAAATAATTTCTTTAAGTCTCACGACAACTTTACTCTGTCACTTAGTCTTAAATGAAAGCTATGGACTATAATAACAACTAACATTTTTGAAGTAAATCTACACCCAGCACATCCATGTCCCTCTTACAGATTATCTCATTTAATCCCAAAAAGGTTTTTTTTGTTATTTTTTTTAGTTTGGTGCTATTATTTTTATGTTCTAGATGAGAAAATCAAAACCAAAGCATTAAGAAATTTACCCAAGTTTGCAAAACTAATAGATATTTGGGTTGGGATTTGCAATTAAATAGATTGACTATAAACCCTTGGTTTGGTTCATTATGCTGTTGCTTTCTTTTGAAGTTTGGAGAGCTTAATTCTAGTTCTATTTTTTTTTAATACTTACTTTTTAGTTGTAGTTGGACACAATACTTAATTTTTATTTATTATGTGGTGCTGAGGATCAAACCCAGGGCCTCTCACATGCTAGGCAAGCACTCTACCACTGAACCACAGCCCCAGCTCCAATTTTAGTTATAGTCTTAAACAATTTTAATCTGTTTTTTTTCTTCAGGAATTCTGGTTTTCTATTTGTCCTTCAAGTTCAAAAATTTTAAGATTCTTCCTCAAAACAAATTCTCATCTTTTGCTTTATTCTTTTTTTTTTCAATAAAACAGGCCCATAGGCCCTAATAGAGAACATAGTTTTGATCTTAGAGCCTTTCCCTATTTTTAATATTATTTGTTTTTCTCCTAGGTCTCTACAGAAGAAGGCTTGAGTCTTGCCAGAGAATATAACTGTGCTTTTTTTGAGACCTCTGCAGCCCTTAGATTCTGTATTGATGATGCCTTTCATGGCTTAGTAAGAGAAATTCGCAAGAAGGAGTCCATGCCATCATCCATGGAAAAGAAACTGAAGAGAAAAGGCAGCCTCTGGAAGAAGCTGAAAGTCTCCCTGAAGAAAAAGAGAGAAGCCACAGCATGATCTCCTTGCTGTTGAGTCCCTCTCTGTCTCTCTGAATTTTATCAGTCGGACAATTCTGCTTCTCTATTCTCTTTTCCTCTTTCTTTATATATCTGCCTTTAGGTAGAAGTTAGATCTGCATAACTGTACCTCTTGAGATAGTTTTGTTTTGCCTTTAACAGTTGGATGGATTTTGTCAATCAGCCGGATATGCTTTTAGTTTTTACAATATATTAGTAAATAAAATTGACATTCCAATTGCCTCATTTCCCTTTAAAGAGTCTAGCTTCATTTGGTATGCTGTCTGGTTATAAGGAAATATGCAAAATTGCAAGCAGAATGATAAAAGGCTCAAGGGATCTGCCTTTGCCTGATAACACTGGTTGTTTGCATTTCAGGAATCTCTGTAAATAATGAAGCAGCTTGGGAAATAATTTCAGAACAGGAATCTGCATCCTGGTCTTTCCTTAAGTGTAAAAGTCACCATACTACTTCTTGAATGCTTCAGAAATGAATGTCAGAGAAATTATTTATAATGGGAACTGGTATGGGTCATTAAAAAGCCAAAATGAAAGATACCCTTATTTACAGTGTTCTGCCCCCTTTTCACTTGTGTGAAAGTATCACAGTGAAGCCACAGGGCTGTGGCAAAAGAATATTGTCTATGTAATGAGAAGAGACTAGCGATTGTGAATTTGGTGATTCATACACTTATAAAAGGATCTTGTGCTCCCTCTCAGGAAGTAATCTCTTAGAACTCCTTCATCTGCATATACATATATGTAGGTGATGAGTTTTGATAACCCAACTGACTCAACCTTGTCATATTGCTAAAATCTTTTCTCTCCTTTTACATGAAATGTGATGAGACGCCACCAGTTAGATGCTTTGTACTTGTTTTTGTTACAATGGGTCATCATGTAAAATGAAGTCATCTGTCGTTCATTTTTTTCCCATTGTGTGAATTGGCTTATTTAAATTCAAGGTAAGAAACTACTAAAAGGGATAGCTTTGAATGTTGAATAGAGAAGCATTTAGGAAAACTCTAAGTTAAGCATGAATCCAACAAAACATTGTTCACGGGTTGAGGGGACAGTTTTAGCATAAATTAGGTTATAAAGGGAAGAGGACAATGGTGTCCTTCAGTATTTCATCACTGATTCTTCCTTTTTTCCACAATGTCTCTGGCATTTGGTAAACTTTGAGAGTATAGAAATGAATTACTCAGACTTAGGCCCTGAATTCTGTATCTGTGAGATTCTGTCCACATGCATTACTTTACATGTAATATAGATACAAATAAAAGGGAAATTATAGATTATCAGTTCTTACCTGTTGATCAAGATCAGTCTTTCAGAATATTACACTTGTGGGTTCTTTTACAGACTGGAGCCAGGGCCCTTTCTCAAACCCACCTAGAGCCCTCTGTTCTTACTCCTAGGCCTTCCCACCAAGGAAGCTAGAAGGTACTTATCTTTTGTTAGTAATTTCTACTATTCTGTCCCTTAGGCTTTACTGAAACCAAGTCTTTTATGCACTGATGCATGGACTTATCGAAGTTTTCTCCATCCTGAATTTCCCCTAAAACTAAATGCATAATACTTCTCCATTGTAACTCGTGTTCACAATTAAGATGAAAAGCCAAAATAAAATAAAATAAAGTTGATATAAAATCACAAGATTTTTTAAAAATTAAATTTATTTTAAATTGACACATTAAAAATTATACATATACATGGGTTCATGTGATACAAGATAATCTTAAGCGTTCAAACTGATTTTTGACTTCTTCCTTTGTTTTGGAATGTTCAATTCTTTGCACTTGTCCCTTTAAATTAGCTCATTCACCTTCAGTAGGTTCTTTGCTTCTTACAGTCCCTGACCCTGGAATCCTTCCAAGCCTGAGAATGTTGCACTCCAACAGTTACTCCCTGTTTGCCAGAAGAAGAAATTCAGAAAACAGTAATTGGCACTAATTTTTCTGTGTTCAATCTGCTTTTTTGTAAACTTGATGATTCCCCTACCTATAAATGACATTGTTTGGTGCATGTTCTAACACAGCCGAGTCTTTGTAAATTTTAATTTTTTTTTATCTTTAATTGATAACTCCTCTGCCTTTGGCCTTAAAGTTTTGTATCTCATTTTACTCTTATTCCATCTCTTTCGTTATAATGCTTAAATAAATAATTTCTATAACTTAAAATCATTTAATAGTTATTAATAATTTATGGTAAATAATTCTTGCAACTTAAAAATTCTCTTTGAGTTTTGACTTGGGGAGCAGTTGCCACATCCAACCACTTTATGGTATTTCAGGAAGGGAGTCTGCAGATCATCACCTTCACATTGGAAGTATCTGAGATAGTTATCCCCAATAGAGTCAAAGACAAATTTCAAGCATTATTTTCAACTTATCTTTCTTATAAAAGACTGGACTAGAAGGAAATATTCCATAAAAACCCTAGATATTTTTGCCCAAGGAATATTTAGTTGCCCCCTTTGATATAAGACCAAAATGTCAGGATCTTGTCTCTGATCATGTTCTTGAAAATTTCTATCCAGACCTAGGACATCTAAGTGATTCCAAAAGCTCAGAAATTATAATGTACATTATGCCTATATTGTCCAGTGAATATCAAGATTTTTAGCCAATATGCATAGATATCCAGAGTAGATGAATGTCTAGTCACCCAACACAAGTTATCAAATTGTGAATAAGTGCCTAATAGGTAACAAACCTTCTCTAGTTACTACAAGAGTGTATGTGTAAGTGTGAGATTATCCCATGGGATGGTACTAAGCAATCCTGAATATGATTTATTGCTTCCTCAAATGGACCCTCCACCTATTTTAAAGTAATTTCCATTAACTTATCCTATAGTTGGCCATGATAAAATAATTTGTCAGACCAGACACAAACGCAAGTCTAAAATATCACATTTTATGTTCAATAGGCATTACCTCAGCCTAGGAACTTCTATAGAAAATACTTGTAGGGATAAATCCTGGGCAGTTGGAATAAGCATCATACATATTGTGCTCAGATGTTCAAGCAAAAGATAACTACTTCATTTCTCTATAGTTCATTTTTCCTCATGAGCCTTAGACTAATGGATAGCTGGGAGGGGGCCTACTAAATTTTAGTTTATTCTAGTAATTTAGTGCTAATCTGAGGCAGTAATTTAAGAACCCTCCTAAACTATACAATCTGTACTTGGTGTGCATATGTCAAAATTTTATCATTCAAAACTATGTGCCCCATGTACTCTCTGATTCAAAATTATCTCTGGGTTACAAGGTAAGGTGTGGCCCAGGTGATTTCAGGGCAGTTGTTTCTTCCTTTCATCTTCTAAGCCCTGAATTATACTCTCTTTCTTCTCTGATCTGTTAAACCAAGAGGCTGGCCTGATTCTGTTTAATGCATTGGTTGACTCAGTTTATCAAGTGTGTCATGGTAAGCAGGAACTCCCTACTAGACTCTGTGAACTTTCCCCTTTGCTTTGGGTCTGGAGTCCTTCCCAATACTGTCTCTTTGTTCTGACCCTAGATCTTTCTAGTCTACCTCCCCCAGAGCACCTGCCTCCCTTTGAGATCACTTGTGTGACACAAAGAGGATGTGTGGATTCCTGAATTCTGCCTCAATGAAGTTACTCCAGTTCTCTGCCACCACCTCAATCTAGCTCCTGTGGGACCTCCAAGAATAGAGCTGATCCAAGTCCCTTGGCAACATGACACACAAGTACAGCCCAAGCAAAAGGGAGGTTAGCTCGAATCACTAAGTGTACCAACAACCATTACCATAGGGAAGTTGATCAGTAGCCACAGTGTTCTCAAACTTCCCTATGGTTGTTGATAATCAGCCTCATATCAATATTCAGTCTGAAGGGCTAGGGTAGGTGATGAGAAAGAATATCCTGGGTAGTAACCCTTTGCTTTCTTTAACGTTTCTCTTTAAGTCACCTCCTGAGAGAGGAGTAGCCTATGTGCTTTTCCTTTTATGTATTCCTATAACAACATGCTGGCACCAAAACAAAAAAGTGAAAATAAAAAAGAATTAGATCATGCAAGATAATGTTGACTTCCTTGATTTAGGGGCTTCTGTTCCTCCACCATAGCATCAAAACATGAAACCCATCTCAATAAAAATATCATATATTTTGTAAAAAGACTGAAATCCATGGATCAAGGAAAATATGAAAATACAGAAATATATAAGAAAACATATCAAAGCGTGTGATCATTATTATACATATATCTAAGGCCAGGCTTTCTGAGCGCCTTTATAAAAATTAAAGCTGTAGTTCTTCTGGTTTGGATCTTTACATAATAAAAGAAGAAGACACAAATCCTATTTAACCTAAGTTCTATTTTTAACATTCACTTAAATTCTTCTACCTGATCTCAAGTTTTCTCTTTAGAATTTCAATATGGGCTTATATGGAAAAACAACAACAACAATAAAACAAAACAAATAAACAAACAAAAAAAACCACCAGTCATTCTTTCTGACCACTTAACCATCATTAAATGTAAATGTAAGAAAGTAGGAATTTTAGCTATCTCATTAAAATATTAACCATATAAATACTATATTCATCAGCTTTCCATCAATATAAGAAAATACTTGACAGACTGGTTATGAGGAATAAAAAGTTTATTTAGCTCATAGTTTTGGAGGTTCAAAGTTCAAATAGCATAATGCAAGTTCTATAGTGGTTTTTGTTCCTTTTCTAAATCATTGCTTAATATACATAGCCATGTTTGGAGTGTACACAAGAGCGAACAAGTGACTTCATTTTGAAGGAGGAAGAGACAGAAGGTGCAACATGCCAAAGGCTGTTCCTTTCATAATAACTCTCTTATGAAAACTCAAGAGGTCATGCAAGAACTACCCCAAGACCTAAGGATCTCCCACTTCTCAAAGTTTCTACCATCTCCCAACAGCTTTATCCGGGAATCCATATTTCCAACACGTGACCCTTTGAGGTAACACAAACCATATTTATGCAGTAGCATTCTGTCCCTAGCCCCCCAAAGTCCATGTCTGTCATACAGTGCAAAAATGTATCCCATCCATTGCAAGAGTCCAAACATCTTAACTGTTCTAGCACTGCTCAGAAGTCCAACTCCAGAGTTTTTTTTTTCAGAAATCCAAGGCAAACTCTTAGCTGTGAGCCTATAAAAATCAAAATGCAAGCTATATACTTACAAGATACAACGTAGGGCAGGCACAAGATAAACAAAATGAAGGAAAGCCCAGCATGAAAGACATTAAAATCTAAAGCTCCAGATACAGCTTCCTGGTCATGCTGTCCATGGATGATAAATCTTCGGGGCTTTGGAAAACCTATCTCTATGACTTTGCTGGTTGTAGGCCCCGTGGCTGCTCTCTGAAGCTGTTTTTGCATGCTACCTGCATTTTTTCTAGTAGGTGTTACACATTGCTGCACCTCTGCCTTTCTGGCTTCACTCCCACAGCTCTCCTAGGCATTGCCCCATAATGCTCTATTTTAGCATCTGATGCATTTTCTCGTCTGTTTCTCTAAACTCTTAGAACTACTTCTTATCAACCAATTCTAAAACACTCTTATTTATCTTATAGTATCTTCCGCAATCCTCATACCAATTTTCTCTAAAATCTCTATTAGAATTTCCAGAGAAACAGAACCAATAAAACACATATTTATATGAAATTGGCTTTATTAGATTGGCTTGCACAATCATAGAGCTTGAGAAGTTTCACAGTTGACATGTGCAGGCTGGAGAGGCAAGGGTCGTCAGTAGCAGCTCAGTCCAAGAAGTTGGAAGCCTCAGAAAAAGAAAGAGATCAATGATAAACTCCCATCTTGGCAAAGTTCTCCCCACATCAAGAAGGACACTGGTGAAAGTCCAAGTCCAAAGGCTGAAGATCTTGGACTCTCGTGTTTAATTGTGGCTGCAGTAGAAAATGTGCCCATTCTGGAAGGAAGAAAAAGAGCAAAAGTTAAAGCAAGAGAAAGAATAAGTGACTTTCTCCTTTTTTGTTCTCTCTAGGCCCCAAGCCTATTGGGTCGTAGTACCCACATTCATGGAGAATCTTCTCCACCCAGTGTGTTGACTCTGTAATGAATATTTCAAACAACCAGCTCCTAAAGATAGTAGGTTTATTTTGACTCACAGTTTTAAAGGTTCCAGTCTATAATTATTTGATCCTGTTGCTTCTAGGTCTGTGGTAAGGCACTTCGCTATGGGATTGCATGGCAGAGCAAAGCCACTCCCCTCAAGCTGGGCACAGAAAGGAAGAGGAAGGAGGTAGGGTCCCATTATGCCATAAGGTTGTGACCCCAGAGAACTACAGACCTAACTAAGTGCTACCTCCTAGAGGTTCAATCACCTCCCAATAGTGCCGTGGGTTAGGGATCAAGTCTTTAACACATAGACCTTGGAAGGACACTTATCATAGCACTACTCCATAGACCAGTCTTCTCTGGAAACACACTCACAGAGCTTTATCAATCCTCTAGTCATCTTTCAACACAGGAAATGCGGCATCAAAAATTTGCGTTCACAAATAAATGCATCATATGATTTAGTAGCTACTTTAAAAAACTAAGCAGAGAAGCCTGTGGTGAGACAAGGAGCATGTGAATTTTCAGAGTGAAAATGATGAAAGCATTACTAAAGGAAATAAGTGGATTCCAACCACCACAGTAGGGTAAAGGTAAGGGTGGTGTTACACAAAACTCACTTGGATATACTATGCCCAATTCTTTTCACCCCTAAGCTTCAGTCAAGCTCCATCTCTTGTTAACCTTTTTATATATCCCCTAGTGTAGCTATCTCCCTTCAAAAAGATGGGTCTAAATCATTAATTTTTATGGAGAAAAATCACATCAATAAATCAAAACATTTCAGCTTATAAAAAAAAACTTGTGTAGAGTCTTAACAATAATGTCAGTATGATTTATCCTATTTACTTTTTAAATACTTTATAGTTATTAACCTGTACCTGTAAAAAATATACACTGAATAATAAATAGTGAATCAGGAGACCATATACATTATAATAGCTCAGTTTCCTAGAGGTGAGGACACAGGATCAGAGGCTTGCGAGTCTCCAGGCACATGAGGTCAGTCAGGCCTGACCTTCGTTCTAGCTATCCTTTCAAGTGCCCTTGACTGCCCTGTGGGGGCTTAATAGGCTA